GAGTCACAGTTTGTTTTTTCTCTCTTTTCATTAAGCACTATAGACCTCAGGGCCGGAGCCACAAATTTCTGATTGGTCTGGTTTTCGAGTACAAATTTCTGATTGGTCTGGTTTTTGAGGGTTTTTGGTTTTTGTTACATTTTTTTTCTTATATTTTCCCCCCGAAAGTTGGTCTGGTTCTTATATTTTCCCCACAAAAGTACCGGACCAACTGTACCGGTGGCTACGGCCCTGGACTTGCACTGAGTCCCTAGAGGAATCATTCTTGGGAACATAACAATGGATTTTTTTTTTGCTTAAGAAAAGACTCGCTATTGTTTTGTCCCCCAGAACAATTCCTTTATGAATTCAATGCAAGGGGTCTATACTTTTATCAAGACAAAAGGTTGAGACAGTTTATGGCTTAATCAAATAATTCATGAAACTTCTCACAGTTCTCATGTACCTTGTTTTATTTTCTGTTCTACAGGGGTACAAYAAATCCCAAAAGTATTCACCACAGCAATAGCTACAAYTTCAACAAGGTCAACAGAAATAAYACATRTAGTCCAAGCACCTCCACGAGTGCYCAGGACAGCAGTAGCGACCAGGAACAAGGGAGCAATCGCATCYTACCTCTTGGGAAATGCAAAATTAATGATGAAGAATTTGTAAATGGATGCGATGGTCACTCAAAATTTAAACCTTCTAGCACTTTCAGACCCACCCAAAGGCTTCCATTTACTTTTAGCCGTAGTGCTTCGATYCCAACTTCACCTAGAGATACGACAGATCTCATTGCTATAGGAACTATATCTTTGACTTCTCATCGCCAGCCTGTGCCGAAGCCACAATCAAGGTAATAGTAAAACTTGTCCCGCAAAATTGTTTCAATATGAGTGTTAGAAATCTGTTGTTGCTGAATGTAAGTGTAGTTCCAGAAATTTTGTCCATACATGCTTTGCGTACGGTGCTCAGCTGGTATGAGTGGTGTGTAACTAAAMAGATAATGTCATTGTTTTTTCATAATTTACAATTTACTCATTCAAAACCTTTTTTATTGCCTTGGTAGGTGGAAAACAAAATCAACACTAAATTTGAAAGGTAGGTAGACTGAGACCAAGGATTTTGGAACCTTCAAATTTTGTAATCACTACCCTCTGGACTGATCAAGTTGGGGCATGGCTAAAACRGTGATGGAATAGTTCCCTTCATAGTTCCTGACACCATCTTGAAAGGTAGCAGTGCCTTTGCACCGAAGCAAGACAAATAGTTAGTTTGCAATGATTGAGACCTTTTTTTAACACCTCGGACAAAATATTCACATGTCTCTATCATAGCAAGCTCACCGTTGGTCTTGCTTCGATGCAAAAGCATGGCTACCTTTCAAGATGCAGGGAAATATGAAAGGGACTATTGGAATTTAGTGAGTCTTGGGAAAGCAGGGCTTTCAGTTTGTTTTGGAGTAGGTGCCCAGGTTATTAATTTTATCAAAATTTTTAAGCTGCTCATAAATGAACTCAGATGAAATTCATCATCAGTAATGATTTTTTTTGCTAGGTTCTAGATATCCTGACCCCTTAAGTGGTGCCCCAACAACCTTCCATGCAAGGATGACCGAAATGGCCCAGCTCGAACAAGAAACCATCAAATACGAGAAGAGCAAAAAAGTCAAGAAAAAATCACCAACTTGAAAAATTTAGGGATTATTATTTGTTAAATATTTAACATTAATTCTTGTTCATACACTGTAGCATCTGTTTTGTGTAAGATATGTTGTAGCTTATTGTAGATAAAACCCCATGTCKGAATGGATATAGCATTGAAATGGCWTCCCAAGGAAGCCTTGTCAATCAAGCTTGTAGAGACAATAGTATTGGACGACCGAAGTTCAATATCAAAATAACGTTTTTGATAAAAATGTAAATAGCACTTGTAAGGCTATCTTACCAATAATTTGACTGGACAACAAAGTGTCAATTTTTTTTAAAGCGAGTTTCAWTGGTTGTTTTGAGATTTTTTTAACAGCTCTATTTAATCAATGACTCAAAATTGTCTTGAATGCGAGGCTAACATGAAAATACAAAGATGCCACAAATTCCATCGAGAAAAAGCGTGATTTCTTTTGTATTTCATGTAAGCCTCGCATCCACGATACTTTTGAGAAGGGTCTATTCCATATCTGAACGCGGTTTTTCACTAATCAACAGACAAAGTTTTTACATCCTTGAAGAGTTCTCTTTAATACCACGCACCTCTAAAGCTGAACAATGTAAAAACGAAGTCAATTACCAAGGAAGAAATTTGTTGAAAGTTAGTGATGCAAAATTGACTTCMAACTCTAAATTTCACGAGATATACCGCAGGCTAATCTGATGTCTCATTGTGCAATACTAGCTGTCGAAGAATGATTTAGAGTACCCCACGCAGAACTCCGTTTTCAATGATACTATGGATGCGCATGACAGAACTCAATAAATCGTGACGTCAAAACTAAATTTCACGTGTTTGCCCCAGGCTTATCTTATCTGTCTGTCTCAATRTGCGACTTTGAAAAGATTATTGAGCGTAGGCTAACAGCTAAACTGGATCGGATGAGTTTRAATAGAATAAATTCAATCAATCGTGAAGTCAAATCTAAATTTTTCGAAATATGCCGTAAGCTAATCGCAGGGGGGTCGGCGACACGTTTCACGCATCGATATTTTTCGAATCACGCACATTTCACGAGAAGAATCACGCGTCATAGTAAACCTGGATCACGAATCACGCTCTAGATTTTGCTATTATCACGTATTACGCACTATCTTAGCCCGAATCACGCGTAGTCCCTGATCCAATACTGTGAAAGGATGATTGAGTGTTAGGCAAGAGAATATTCTCTTGGTGTAGGCGGTCAAGGCAGAAATTTATCAATGAWAGATGGACGCACATGACAAACTCAATGTAAATTGTGACGAAAAAACGAATTTCACGTTGTATTCAGAATGATAGTTAGTGTGTTTGAAAACCACAGGAAGCCCAAGCAAGGTAACCTTGTACCTTATGGGATTACAGTCAACTCCCTCGGGACCGTCACTTRGTGTCCGTAATAGCGAGCGTCCGCAATAACGAGAATTAATTACGGTCATTTCTTCGTCATCATTTTTGCCGGGGATTTTGCCCCTGTCCGAAATAGCGAGGTGTCCGTTATATTAAGGTGTCCGCAAGGCGGGAGTYGACTGTATATCGTAAGAATATATATACGGCTATTTCAAAAAAGATTGAATACTGAGTACTGCGCATGCATAGTCCTACTTTTGACAATGTCACTATGATCCACAATACACTTTGGTCTTGGAAGGCGCTATTCAGTATGCAGTATTTAGATCGAAGGCTTTTGTATTAGCTTGCCATCCAGCACATTTTCCCTGATCCCCAATCCTTATAAAATGTTCGATTTTATATTCAACGCCATTTCTCCTATAGTCAACGTTATTAGCTAAAAATTTGCTTTCTTACTAATATTGAGGTGCTCGTTCCATTTCTGGTGTTCATTTTGACACAACGTCTCTTTTTACGGGGGGTAGGGTCACGTGACCTGTTGCTACAAAAGGCCTATGGAGGGCAGAAAATGAATGAATCGTGTCGCAAACTAATTTCGATTCGAGGGTTCGGAGAAAGGACTGAATGATTATAACAGGAAGGAGAAGGGAAAATCGAACGAGAATGAATTATTTTATGAAGTGGCACAACTCCTATCAATTACTTATACGCACTCTTGAAAAACAGCCCCACAATGCACTGCAATGCCAACTAGTCCCAGTTTTCCCTCAACCTCGGAATGGCCGGGGGCGTTTGCGTTGCGTAAGCCGAATTATATTTCCCTTCAATTTTGTGCTAAATCATAATCACCGTAGACGCATTAATCTAATGGGTTACCGATATGCCATTTTATTCAGATTTCATTTTTACCATTAACTTTTATCTAAATTGGGTTCCCTGTGGTAGAATCAACAGGTGCCACACATCACCAGTAAAACATGGCTGTCCGGTGTGCTCTGAAAAAACCTAAAATTAGTTTTTAATGAGCTGCACATTCATTAGATATGCATCYCACATGGTCTAAGGATACCAGTCAAAACACTCGAAATCGCTGCGCCGTTTGCTCGAGTGTTCTTTTGCTGATGAAAATACGTCACTCAACAAGGCGATATCGTATTTGTGGCTTTATCTAGAGACATTTGTGGCTAGCAACTACGTAGTGCATATAGGAATWAGGTAAATAAGTGCATTACTGTTTTACTGATTTCTTTTTTAAATTATTACCTGCAATTTSAACGCAGTTTCTAGGGTTATTACCTGTAAGAAGCTTATTACAAGCAAGGATCAAATATTTATGCKTTTCACCTGCAAAACAACTTCCTTCAAAACATTCCTATAAACGAATCTATTTTATATTTAAAGCTTTTCGAGCCCAGAACTCAGAACTATCATTGTCGTTTTCCCATTCTTATGATTCCCATTGTTTTATCTGCTCTTTTTTTGTTACTCAGTTGTTACTTTTTCCTTGCGTCGTATAGAGATTGAATTTTTTGTTTCTAAGTGAGCAAACTGGTGGCCAATGGCAAATCAGGTCTCGTAAACCAAAAGGGCGTTGTCCTTGTAGTGTTTCATYATTGCATGGTTTCAGCCTAGAAATTTCCAGACAAGCCGTTTCCTATTTCGKTTTTCTAAGCCACAGTTTTTCAAAGTCCTTTCTTCTAAAGCGTATTTCTTTGGAGCAGATAAAACTGGATCCCTAGAGTTAGACGAACGATTTAAAAACATAGAGTATGTTCCAAAACACTAGATCTCCAGCTAAAACTCTGATAGTTCAATTAATTCTGACAGATATRCAAGCACAGATGGTGCGATTTTTCATTCTAGAGCTTGTTTGCATTGAGMTTGAGTGCGTTCCTGAAAAACCTATACTCGAATAACGGAGCTACAAGATAGAACTACAAGATCAACATAATTAGCGCGAAAAATATCACTTACAAAGTTCATAAAACGAAGTTTATAAGCATATACTTTTTTTCAAACTTCAACATCGGGCACAGCACAGCACAGCACAACGAAGTTTATAAGCATATACTTTTTTTCAAACTTCAACATCGGCCTTTTATTAAGAGCACGACTCTAGCAAAGCTGTCGTAAATCTGTAAAATTACTTTTGAAATACTATAATTTTTTAGTTTATTTTTCTGCAAACTTACAGCGACAAATGCATCTCATATCTTGAGAACGCTCGATCACCAATCATCTTCGATTCGGAGATTAGCTGTCGTTAAAGTGTGGCAATGGTTACTTTCGAAATGCTATAATTTTCAAGATGATTTCCCCTCAAAATTACAACGATACATGTTGCCTCGTATCTTGGCAATGATCGATCAACATYGTCTTCGATTCAGAGCACGATTAGCTGTCATAAAATTGCGGCATAACATTTTTCAGGGTTCGACTAGCTGTCGTTCAAGACAGGGAAAACTAAGTTTATAAACAATTGCCAGGTTTGACATGATTTTTAGGATGATTTTTCAKCAAGCTTGCACCGGCTAATGGCTTCTCGTAGCTTGTACTCCTCAGCAGTTGATTGGCATCATATTATTATAGATTAAGAGCCAACTAGCATGGGAATTGGATGGAAAATAAAGATTATTGATGACCGTCGGTTTGACAATAGGATCTTAAAACATCGAAGATGGTACATGCTCTACCACCTTGAAAACCACTTAGAATTCAATATTCAAGAAAAAGAAAGAATATCACTTTACAAGTATTTCCACTAATTACGACCATCGAACGTTTCATCTGTCAAACAAACACACACATCTGTGTGCCGGTGGTCCTATTCTCATAGCACACAATACCCGGAATTAAGCTGTTTCGAGGTCCTTGGCCACCAGTTTGTAGCCTCAGGAATCCTCGACACTTTTGTAAACCATGATCTAAACTCAACAGATGTTAAATCTAAAAACTGAAATTCTTTCGCTGCATCAAGGTATAAAGAATCCGACGTCGGTATAGAGCAGCGAGCGGAGTAGGAGAACCCCCTTTAATTTATAATGCACCCCATGTGATGTTAATGATCTAAGTTATCGCTTATTAATTCTATAAATAGCGTTCGGTGAGTTTTCCAGGGTGTGTTGCATCATCGAGGAGTCTAAATTGGATCTTGTGGCGCGTCGTAGCTATTCTTGGAAATGTCTTGAAACTGAGAAATGAAGGAATAACCAACTAATAAAAATACACAAATCGTTTAATAGCGAGTCGTTTGAATATTTGAATGTTTCAAATGAGTTTATTGTTGCCAACCAATTTTATTCGGTAATCTGTTAGTTCATATTCGAAGAAATAATTGATGAACTCCACGGAGTGGAGAGGGACCGTTAACTATGGCGCTCTGATTTAGCGCCGATCACGTCGACAGCGAGGGATTCCCGCGGGAGGACAGTGGAGCGGCTCTTGGTTCTTCAAGTTAAAAGAGAATTAACGGCTTGGTTTGTATAGACAATATTTTGAAACCAAAAGCGGATTTCTTTCTTATATTTTCACCGCAAGGAGCGTTTAATTTAAAGACTTATCGTTACCCTCATACACTACACAACACGAGCACCACAACAATCATCATCACTACCATCATCACCACCACACTGTCATCAAAGCCCTGATTCCAAAGCGCATGCTCAGTAAAAATGTGGTATCGACTGACCTACAAATTCGCAGTTCCCGGCAGACTTTGGGCTCCATGTTCGCAAACGAAGGGGATTTTTAGTAGACAAATCTAAAAGTGTGCTGGAGTCAGTTTTTTTCTATTCAGACTAAACAGCCATTAGCAGCTGTAGGAGCAACAACGCCAAAATAAAGACAGCAACAGCATCATGCATCATCAATAACAACAGCAAAAACGACTCTACTCACAACAGCAACAGCAACAACAGCAAAGGAAAAGCACTGAGTATCAACAACA